CAGGGGGAAGAATTTAATCAGAAAAATGGGAATAATTGCGAGTCAGTTAAAGACACCTGCCTAGATGCTCCAAAAGCCACAGTAAGGAAGCAGCTTGTTTTGGTTAAAAAACAAAACCAAACCAACAACCTAGCTCAGAGATGCAGTAAAATCAGCTCTAACAATTACGTAACAGAAGAAAAGGGAAATTGATATTAATGAATGTAAATGAGAAGAAAGAAATTGCACAACATTGCTAAAAAAGTATCAGAGGGGGAGCCGTGTTAGTCTGAATCTGCAAAAGCGACGAGGAGTCCTGTGGCACCTTAGAGACTAACTGAAGTGTAGGAGCATAAGCTTTCATGGGCAAAGACCCACTTCATGCATCTGACGAAGTGGGTCTTTGCCCACGAAAGCTTATGCTCCTACACTTCAGTTAGTCTATAAGGTGCCACAGGACTCCTCGTCGCTATTGCTAAAAAAGGCCAAAGGGAACAAGGAGAAATCTATGGCCAGCGGCCTTAGAGACAAAAAAGATCCTGACAGGGGCCAATGCCCATTATTGTTGGAAATGGTAGAATCATCAGTAAAAAATATAAAAGGCAGAAGTGCTCAGGCATTTCAGTTCTGTGTTTGGGAGGAAAAACCAATGGAGTCCTCACCCCTGGTACCAATACACTTTCCATTCCACTAGCATCTGTGGAAGATGTTAAATAGAAGCTCCTAAAGTTTGAAAAAGATCTAACTGCTGCTCCAGATAATTTGCATTCAAGAGTTTTAAAAGAGCTGGCTGGACAGGCAGTGCAGCTTTTGTGTTACATCTCAGAGCACTGGGAGAGTTACAGACATCTGGAAGGAGGTTAACATAGTACACACGTTGGAAAAGGGGAAGGGGGATGATCTGGGACAGGGCTCCAAGTCCAGCTGACATGAATCCCAGCGGGATAATACAAATAGCTGCTCTAGGACTCAGAGTAAAGAACTAAGGGAGGGCAACAGACTTAAAGCAAATCAATATGGTCCTGTGGTCCATAGATCCTATCAACCTGGCCCCTGCAAGGCTGCAGCCTTAGGGCAGCAGCGTGCTGTGGGCAATGCAGCCTCCCCCAGCCCAGGAGGGAGGGGTCCCAGCCACAGTGTCTCAGCCTTGTGCTGGCTGCTCCCCCTGGAGAAGGCTGCAGCTACCCCAAACACTGGGGGGGGATGTCGTGCAGGAGGGGCAGAGCCGGCTGGGTAAAGAGGCAGCAGTGAACCCAGCAGGGCTCAGTCCAGCTCTCTGGGCACAAGGCAGGCTGCGGGCTCGGTCCTGGGAACCAGGGACTCTGAGCAAGGGGCTAGTTGGGAACAGGAGCTCCTGGCCTGAGGCTGCACAAAGGGGGATCTCTCAGCGGACTCTCTCGCTGGGTTGGCCCTGGGGCAGCGCTGCTGCGGCTTGGGGCTGCTGTTCCAGGAGGGTAGGGAGCAACTGGATGGTCACAGAAGAGCCAAGGGATGGCTGAAAGGATCAGAAAGCTGGCCTGACGCAAGAGCCACCAGGAGCTGGAGACAGACAGCCTGGGGGTGACGGGCACCGGCCTGGCAGGACCTCCGTGGGCAATGGATCTGCCAGGGGCTGACGGCTGGAAGCTGGACAGAGCCTACGGCCCAAGGGCGCAACCAGTGCTCAAGCAGAGCCACTCCTGCGGGGACGAGGCACCGGGCCAGGCGCATGCACCAGCTCTGACGCTGACTCGGCCCAGGCGAACTCTGAGTCCCACTCTCCGGTGGGAAGCTGTGTAGGGCAGGGGCAGTCCCTGGGGGCTGAGCCCTGGCATGATGGCGCCCTGATTGGAGCTGGGAGCAGGGCCGGGGAGCAGGAGTGAGGGACGCTGGGGGGCGGGAGTGAGGGGCCCCATCTCTGTGTCCCTCCTGCTGGTGCCTTTTACTTCATGCCGAGCGAGCCTGGCCCGGCAGCTGCCTGCTACCTGCTCAGCGCGCTGCTGGACGCCTTCGATGGCCTCGCAGCCCGTGCCCTGCACCAAGGTAGGGACCTGCCCTTGCGGGGTGGGGCTGGCATCAGGGATCCCTGCCCACGGAAGGCTTGTGGCCCAGGGAGGAGGGGGAACAGGGGCTTTATGGATGGGTCTCCATCTCCCTTCCCCCTCCCCCACAGGGACCCGGTTTGGCGCCATGCTGGACATGCTGACCGATCGCTGTGCCACAATGTGTCTGCTGGTGAACCTGGCACTGCTGGACCCGCCCCGCGCCCTCCTCTACCAGCTGAGCATGAGCCTGGATATTGCCAGCCACTGGCGGCGCCCGCACAGGGTGG